CCCCTTTACCACAAAGTAACCTAGCACTTTCTCTATATATATATATATAATACCATGGAGCCGCGGAGCCGCGGCGCGGAGCAAGCAGCAACAGCGATCAGCGATCAGCGCCACCACCAACCGGAAGCGACCTGTGACGCGTCAGGAGCTCGCTGCTCTTCCAGCGACGGGAGCCCTTGACCGTGACCTGTGCCAGCGAGGCCCGGGTCCAACGGGTCCAACGTGTCCAACCGTGCGTGTTGGACAGAGCTGGGTGGTGTGACAAAGTGGGCAGACCGGTCTACTGTAGATGCCATATTTCCCATGTAGATCGTCAGCTTTGTTCATGTTCGCGCAGTTTTCTTGGTAGATTCCTTTCCTGATCCTCAACAACCTGGATGCCTCTTTGGTGAATCGACTGACTATCGCCCTTTCATGTGGTTGCGAGGCCACCACCGCCAGCACCACCACAACAACCACAACCACAACCACAACCACAACCACAACCACAACAACAACAACAACAACAACAACAACCGATTTGTCAGAACCACTGTATTGGGGGAGTTTCACCTGATTTCCACATCCAATGGGTCAGTCATGTGGTGCACCACCTGCTGGTCATCCCTTTAAATTCTTGAAAAGGAATCTGGGGCTCCTTTGTGACTTCCAACCAGGTCGGCTGGCTGGTGTTTCTTTCTGAGGTCAGTTGCACGAGCACTCTTCTACCAGGGAAACCGTCTGCAGGTCTATGCCCTGCGTGCCGAGCATTTGTCCGTGGCGAAGCTCACACCGAAGGTGGTCGAGGCTTCTGGGCCTTTGGGAAGCGAGCAGTGGAGCAATGCGGAGCAGCACGTGTGTTTTGGGGCGTTTGATTTCGATGTTAATATCTTTGGGTGGGCTTAACAATCCCATATGATGTAAAATACAGGGGTATGGGATGCCTGGAGGGCCGCCCGTACGCACCTGCGCCAAGAAAAGGGTCTTTGGGGACGCGTTCCCTCAAGTTGTGTTGATTAGCGACACCCTCCTGGAAGACTGAATTTCTCCAGGTGAGCAACCGCCAAGCCGTGCGATGACCAAATTCGTAAGGAGCCGTCCGAGCCGTTGTGAATTTCAGGAGTCTGACTAAAGACCTGCAAAAGCGATGAGACCCCTTCAAAAGCGAAAAAGCGGCCCTCAAAAGCGCTAACCGCTAACCTTGCTGAATCATGTCCTCTTCTTGACACGTTTCAGCAGACGCTCAGGTGGTTTGCTGTGTGAATCTGACTCCCGAATCATGCTAATGTCAGCAGACAGAGAATATAGAAAGTAAAGTCACTCCTGTGGCAGACCATTCAGATATTTGATGCTTTGCACCAGACATCCACAGAGAACTATGACAATGTCGATTCGCTGATCACATGTTCTGGGCTGCCACTTCTTCTCACTTTCACTGTCCTCTCCTCTTCACAGACTACTGACTGTCACCGTCTCTTCCACCAAGCCATGGGCGTTCCAAACTGGAGCCCTCCGGCTGGTGCTCTCATTTAATGAGGAAATGACTCCGGAAATCCTAGGTGCGTTGAGTGTTCGGCCGCACCTTCTCGCACGCCACCTCCCCAAATCAGATGGGCCGGCTCGTTTTCCCCGCTGGCCTTCCCGGTCGCTGGGCCGCCGGTCTGGCAGCGGAGAGGTACTGAAGAGTGCGCTGCAGGCGAAGGGTGCCTACTTGGCCCAGCGTATGGAGACTCTCAACGCCTTACCTGCCCGGCTGGACGCCAAGGCGTGGAGTCCGCCCGAGGAAAGCAGGTGCTAGGCGGACCGATTTGGGGATTTGGTGTGCAGAAGAACTGCATCTTCTGGGTTGAAAACAGAACAGATGTGACACAGAGTGGGAGGACAGTTTTGGGCAATCTGGTGATCTTGGGCGCGCGTTTTCTTTTTTTTCTTGGAGTTCTAGATCTGTTTTGGATCCACGACTGGGCTGGACTGATGAACCACAATCAGCCTGACAGCCTACGTAACATAATGTAACATAAACAATTATGTCAGTTCTGCCCCAGGCATGAACCATAGTCCAGGCTGGGACGCTCCAACCCCTCTTGGCGCAGTGTGAGGCCGAGCGCTTGCGGGACGAGCTCCAGCGCGCGCGAGTGCCGCTGATCCTGGACTCGCCCTTCCTGCGACGGAAGCACCAGGTCCTCCTGCCAGGCGCGCACGCGTGGTCTTTGCGCTCGTCTCAGCGGGTCTCGGGCGTGCGCGGGGACCAGGGACCGTCGTTTGGCATCGCCTGGCTGGCTGAGTTGAAGACCTGGGTGAGTTTGGGTGGTACAAGTCATGGGAGAAGGCATTGGTTTTGGCGAAAAAGACTCCAAACTCTCGTCGAGCACGTGGATTCGGGGAACGCCATTTTTGGCGTGGAGTGACATGTTGATGGGCTTCATTTACAGCAGTGATGCTGTCAGCGATTTTCCATGGTGATTTGCTGGGATGCAGGCAAAGAACCACCTGTGATGAAGGAAGATTGTTTTTGATGTTCTTCCCACGCCAAGTTGCAAGGCACCCTGGGGCTCTAGGGTCTGGTCAGAGTCAAGCATTTTGGTTGGACATGTCATGTCCAGACAACCCAATATCTCCAAAAAAGCCAGCAAGGCTCAAGCCATACTTGGGCTTCCATCACTGGCAATGTCAGTCCGATAGTGACGAACTTTGCCCGGAAAACGACTCCGGGCGCCGCTGTGGTTTTTACCTCTAACGCAGCCACTCGGTCTTGTCTAATTCGTTGGCTGATTAGGGTTGTGAGCAGTTGGGAGGGAGTGAACATTGGATTCGATGTTTCGATCATCACATCCATCACTGGTAGTTTCTTGTTACTAGTAATGCCAGGAGCTACGTTCGTAGCTTCTTGCTCCGTTCGTAGCGATGCACCTTGCTACTAGTAGCGAACCTTGTTACAAAGGAAACATCTTGGTGTGGGTCTTAAACAAGGAGAACCTTCCAGGCTCAGCCTTGGGCAACGGGACAAGCTGATGAAACCGACAAGGGCCGTCCTGATGAATTGAGACAACTTTGCTTTTAGTTTATGTGCACGTGATCTTAATTGTGTAACAGTGACCTGGTACGTCTTTGGTTCTGCCTAATTGTTTTTGGTAACAGCTCCCCAACAAATAAATTATGATAAACCTTTCCTGTCCGCTCGTTTTTTTTTGTTTTGTAAATGTTGTAACGCAAGTGCTTGGTCAGCAAATGCAACAAAGCACAAAGGCCTTTCTGGGTGACAGCAGGGTCCCACCAGATCGAGAGGGTCACCGAAGTGACCTGAAAGCGATTCTTGCTCAACCACTCGTCCTCACACCAATGGATTGAGGATCTTAAGTTAGTGGGTCTGTTCGATTCACACATATAGTCATATAGTCTACTAACCGCTAGCCGCTATCATCCACCCTCAGTTGTGATTGGAATTGTATATAATATGTATGTATATATATATATGTATATGTATATATATGTGTTTGTATGTACAGCCCATAAATACTCCGCGCTAGTTCATTGCAGACATGCGACTCACGACATGTTTTGGCTCAAGGTAAAAAGGCGTTCCGAAACGTCGACTTTGTGTTTTCATGGTAGCGCACGAGTCCGGTGAAAGTGACAGGGACAAAGCACTGCGCATAAAGGAAGAAAGACACGGTAAAGTCGAGAGCTCCGAGGAGGAGGAGCTAGGACCCTCGGGAGCGGCAGCTTCTGCCGCCCCGAGTGGAACAGGAGAAGAGAGGAAAGAAACAGAGGAGGAGGAGAAAGAGCCTTTGCCAGCCACATCAGCGGCGGATTCAGCCGCAAGTACCACTCCAGCGGTTGAGAAGACCGCAGAAACAACTTCAACGGTCAAGAAGACCGTAGAAACAAAGGAGGAGAAGGAAAATACAGAAGGAGTAGAAGAATCAGGTGAGGAAGAAGAGCCTGAACAGGACCTGACAATTGAGCCAGAGGCTGGAGCGGCTAGTTCAGCCGCACGGCCATCGTCTGGCCGAGTTATCGCCGATTTCGTCACTTCCGCAGAAGGTATCAAAACAGGTTGGGAGGTTCGTGGCACTCACGCCAAATATACCCCAGCCAAGGTTGATCCCAAAGCACCTTGGAGGAAGCAGGTGAAGAAGCACCCAGAACCAAAGTCCGGATTCCGACATCGAAGCCAAACTTCGCTTCAGTATCGGAAGCTCAAGGACTTGGTGAGGTTGCAGAAGAAGCAGGGTGTCATTACAGAAGACCTGCAAAGGAGGATCAAAGAGTTTGGCAAAGACCGCCCAAAGGAGGAAATCAAGTTAGAGCGGAAAGAACAAAAGATCCGCAATCAAGAGAAGCGCAAGGAGAGCGCAAAGCAAAAGGCTCAGAAGAGGAGTGAAACGGCTGATGCAGCCGAAGAAAAGGAAGAAGAAGAGGAGGAGAGCCCATCGGAAGAAGAGACTTCCGTGAGACTGAAGGAGAGGAGCCGCAGTCCGGTAAGGCGGCCTCGATCTCCAGACGGACCGCCACAGGTCCGGCGGCCTAGATCTCCGGACGGGCCACCACAGGCTCGCCGACTTCAGATCGGCCGCAATCCGGTGGAGTTGATCTCCGCAGGAGCCCAGGCCGCTCGTCAGAGCCCAGGATCTGCGTCTGACCTGTCCCAAGGGTGAAAGCCCTTGGACCGGCCTGGTAAGGGGCCGGAGACCGGACGAACCGTCCGCAGTTGAAAAGGTGCGAGAGCAGCGCCGTTGAGATTGGGAGACCATGGCTTTGGAACAGCAGATTCAACAGTTGTCTGATATGGTTTTGCAACTCCAGCAAAACCAGGCACGTTTGGAACAAGAGAACCAGGTATTGAGAGAGTCCCAAGGTGGGGTAACCATGTTGGCTTCAGCAGTAGGAGAACTGGCTAAGAGCCTTTGAGAAAAAGGAGGATAGACGAAAGTCCCAAAAACTTATGGACACCAAAGGTTTGGAACGCCCCGAGAGTTTTGGACATGTTGAAGGGGAATTCCGAAAGTGGGCCAGGAGCATCGACAACCTGTTCATAACTACCTTTGGGAGAGAGTTCATTGAAATCCTTGAGTACATTTTGGAGCAGGAAGACACGATTGAAATGACCAAAATGGAAGAAGAGTTTGGGTCTAGCACCGTAACGGACATCGGTGACCTAGAAGACAAAGCGGACCAAATTCATCGCGTGCTCCTGACTCTCACTTCCGGCGAAACGGAAGATCTCATGGTAGGAGCCTCAAATGGTTTCGAGGCATACCGAAGAGTCCACCGACGATGGGATCCCCGTACTTCGGGAAGAAAGCGAAACATCCTCAGGGCTATCCTCCAGCCAGAGCGGGTCAAAACTTGGACCGCCGTGAGGCCAGCCATCGAACAGCTGGAAGAGCTGATCAGGAGGTACGAAGCCCGGCGAAACGCATCAGGAGCTAGAGAGACCTTATCGGACGACATCAAGTCCGCTTCATTGGAGATGCTGGTACCCCCAGATTTGGAGAAACATCTTTTGTTGAACAAGAGTAGATTGACATCCTATTCATTGATCAAACAGGAGATTGAACTTGTCATTGAATCATCTCTTACATCAAAGTCATCTGTTCCAAAACCAGGTTCATCAAGCTCCAACTATCAAGGACCACAACCAATGGATGTCGATTCGATCGGACAATGGATTGCAAGCCTGGTCAAAGGAAAAGGTAAAGGAAAAGGTAAACAGGTCAAAGGTGATGGAAAGAAAGGCTCAAGTAAAGGAGATTCAAGTAAAGGCTCAAGTACGGCTCAAGATATCACCTGCTATAATTGCGGTAAGAAGGGACACAGAGCGGCCGATTGCTGGAGCAAGAAACGGCCGGATGGGAAAGGCGATAAATGGTCAGGTTCAGGCAAAGGAGGCAGGAGTGGCAAAGGTGGCAAAGGCAGTAAAGGCAAAAGGAGACAGGAGTGGCAAAGGTGGCAAAGGCAGTAAAGGCAAAGGTGGAAAAGGCGGCAAAGGTAAAGCCGCAGGAAGTGTGGAAGAGGTAGATGACCCGGATGATGGCATTGAGCCAGCTCCGGAAGCAGATGTCGGAATGCTCATGGCAGACTTGAGTGGAATTGGAATAGCGGATACTTCATCCGCCGAAGAATGGATGAAGTTTAACCTGGACACTGGAGCAGCCCAGACAGCCATCCCGAATGGCTGGGAGGACCGAGTGGTTGTCAGTGAAGGCAACGGGGTTGTTTTCAAGACTGCGTCAGGAGAGCTGGTGCCCAGTCAGGGCATTGGAACCTTTGAGGGGTTCGATGAGAGCGGCAGGATCCGACTCCGGCTGAGATTGAAGAGCACGAGGCGACAGGCCATGTGCAGTATCGGAATTGGTGCCGGCATTGCATTGCTGGACGGGCTGTAGGACAGCCGCATCGGACGAGGTCCGAGGAACAGAAGGCAAAGAGCCTTGTGCCCACAGTGGCAATGGACTACACGTTCATGTCACGGGGCGGTGTGGAGGACGAGCGAGTGAAGCCGATCCTCGTGGTGAAAGATGAGAGGACACAGTTCTTAGCGGCGACCTTCGTGGGCTCGAAGGGAGCGACGCCGTATGCAGTGAAGTTCGTGGCGAACTTCTTGAAGAACTTGGGACACCGCAAGGTGGTTCTCAAATCGGATGGGGAGCCATCCGTGGTAGCCTTGAAAGAGGCAGCAGCAAAAGAAACCGGCATAGACTGGATCTCAGAAGAATCGCCAGTAGGAGACCATCAAGCGAATGGCCTGGCAGAGAACGCCTGCAAGGAGGTCAAACGTCAAGTACGAGTACTCCGCAGTGCGTTGGAAGAGAAGCTCGGCAAAGAGCTCAAAGATGATGATCCTGCATTGGCGTGGTTGCCAAGGCAGGCGGGAGACCTGCTGAGCAGGTACAAGAAAGGTCAAGATGGCAGAACGTCTGAGGCCAGAAGATGTGGGAAGCAGTGGCGGAAACCCGCCATAGCTTTTGGCGAACGCCTATACTTTAGAGAAGTAGGCGAGGGAGTTCGCATCCTGAAAGAAGGACGCTATGTAGGGCACCACGGCCGAACAGGATCCATTTTGGTGATGACGGCCGATGGCGTGCGCAGAGGCACAGGAATCCGGCTGCTGAGTTCAGCCGACCGCTGGGACCCAAGTGGTTGGGACCTTTTGCGGGGCTTACTGTGGGAGCACTCCGCGGCAAGGCCTGCCGGTGAGCAGCTGATGCTCGAAGAACGTCTTGTGGTACCACCTCTTAAAGAGGAACGAGTGGCACCACCACCGCAGAGGCGAGTGTACATCAGGAGAGAGGATGTGCACAGGCATGGAGCCACAGAAGGCTGCCCAGGATGCAGGTGCATCTTGGAAGACAAGAGGACGACCTTGCCGCGCACAGAGGCGTGCAGAGCAAGGATCACCGAAGCAATGGAAAAGGATGAAGCTGGGCAAGCAAGACTCGAAGCCCACGCAAAGAAGAGAAAAGAGCGGCAACAGCTTGACACTGTGAAGCCGAAAGTCGTGGCCGACAAGGACACAGACATCACGGCCGAAGACACGGCCGGAGAACCAGAGAAGAAAGAAGAAGCAAAGAGCGCAGGATCGGGAAGCCCGCCGCCAACAGCGGCAGAAGGTGAGGGGACCTATCCCGATGACCCCAAAAAGAGATATGAGATGAAGAGACAAGCAGCCGAGATGGAGAAGAAACCGGTGGCGAAGGCCAAGGTAGCGACAGAGCCCAAGAAGAGAACAGGGGAGCTTAGGATAGATCCACCCGGGGCAAAGGTCAAGCCGAATCCAGCCCAAGGAACAAAGAGGACGGCAGAGACTGCCGTAGAAGACCTTGATCCCAGAGTGGAAGAGAGTCCAAAGAAAACGTCCACGTTTTCTTATGTTCCAGAAACACCACCTGCAGGGTGGAAGCCAGATGCAGCAAGCTTAGTAAAAGAGAAGGAGATCGCAAAGCAGCATCTGAAGAAGATCATTCAAGGAACCTATGAGGCAAATGGCATCGAGATCACTGAGCAAGAGATCAGAGACATCGCGCATTTGAGTATGCAGATGTCAGCAGTAGATATCATGGAAATCTACTCGTCCAAGAGGTTCACCGCGCTTGCAGAGCGGTACAAGTTGCGACCGGGTTTTGCGGTCGACTTGAATGAAATGAAGGAAGATGGAACATACTGGGACTTGAACAAGCCCGAAGACATCCAAGAGGTGCATGACATCGTGGACAGAGATGAACCAGTCCTTTTGACAGGTTCTCCCCCATGTCACATGTTTTCCCAACTCCAGAACCTGAACTGGAAGAACATGGCACCGGATGTGAGAAGGAAGAAGATGGATGAAGCCATCCATCACTTGCACACAAGCGTGGAGTTGTATGTCAAGCAACATCGCGCTGGACGCAAGTTCCTTCATGAAGCACCATGGGCAGCAACCAGCTGGAAAGATGAGAAGGTTGAGGCCCTAGCAAGAGAAGATGGAGTGTTTGTAGTGAAAGGTCCAATGTGCAGGTGGCAGATGATGGCCACCGACCGAAGAGGACTCCAGGGCACCGGCTATGTGAGAAAGGAGACCGATTGGATGACCAACGATGAAGGGTTGGCTCGAGTCCTGCAAGGAGTTTGCTCGAATGAGTCGAGCAAAGGACCATGGCACCGACGCATCCATCTGATCGGAGGCATTGCTAGGCAGGCAGCGGTATACCCACCGCAGCTTGTGAAAGCAGTTTTGAGGAGCCTGCGTGACACGCTAGCAGAGAAGGGTGAGCCGAACACCCTTGATCTGTTCGCAGCAGGTCCAGTTCCAGAGATGCCTCTGATGGACCCAGAGTTCGAAGAGGTCTACATGGATGATGTGAACGGCGGCATTTTGCCAGCCGAGAAGGTAAAAGAGGCAAGACGCCTTGAAATGGACTATTTGAAAGAGAAACATGGCGTTTATGTGCCTAGGCCGAGAGCCGAGTGTTTTGAGGAAACGGGGAAGCCCCCGATTCCAGTCAGATGGTTGGACACCAACAAGGGAGATCCAACAAACCCGAACTACAGGAGCCGATTAGTTGTGCGTGAGATAAAGGCAAAGAAGACCAAAGAAGAGCAATTGCCAGCCAACTTGCTTTTCAGCAGCACGCCCCCACTAGAGGCGATGAGACTGCTGTGCTCGTTGTGGGCAGCAAAGAGAAAGTCCTGCCGCAACCAGCCGCTGAAGCTGGGCCTGTGGGACATCTCACGAGCACACTTTTATGGAACCCCGAAGAGAAAGATCTACATAGAGCTGCCGCCTGAGGACGAAGCCAGCAAAGATGGACAGACCTGTGGACTTCTCGTGAAGTCAATGTACGGGACACTGGACGCTCCAAATATCTGGCAGACGCACTATACAGAGACTCTGCAGAAGGCTTGTTTCCGCAGAGGGCTGTCGAATGCGTCAGTCTTCTACCAAGAAGCTTGGGACGTCAGAGTGATGGTGCATGGAGATGACTTCCTAGCATTTGGAGATGCCCAACACTTGGAGAAGCTCAGCCAAGTCCTCAAAGATGCTTATGAGCTGAAATGTCTCGGAATTCTTGGAGACGAGGATGGAGACCGAACAGAAGCATATTTTCTGAATCGGTTGATCCGAGTCGAGAAGAAGAACGGCAAAGGATCGATTGTGATCGAAGCCGATCGAAGACATGTTGATCTTTTGATCCAGGCATTTGGTCTGGAAAAGGCAAATGGTGTGGAATCACCAGATGTCAAGAAGTCGGCAGATCAGCAGATGCTGGAAAGCCGCAGTCCGCTGCTTGATAAGAGCGAGGCATCGAAGTATCGTTCAGCTACGATGCGTGCTGCGTATCTGTCCCAAGATCGACTCGATATTGGACACGCAGTCAAGAACCTTGCTCGAGGTATGGTGTCGCCGACAGAAGCCAAACTTGCAGACTTGAAACGTCTCATCAGGTACTTGAAGAAATACCCTGATGTTGGGCAATGTTTTGGCTCACAGCAGGTACCCTCAAAGCTGAGGGTCCAGGTCGACGCTGACCACGGTGGAGATGCTGTGACACGCAAGAGCACAACTGGCATGGTTGCCATTTATGGCACACACGTGCTGAAACACAGCAGTAACATCCAATCCACCATAGCCCTTTCGACAGGCGAGAGCGAATACTACGCACTCGTTAAGGGCGGATCTGTGGGCTTAGAACTTCAAAGCCTATGCGCAGATCTTGGCTTGGATTTGGAAGTCACCATAGAGGGCGACTCCAACGCAGCCAAAGGAACTGTCAACCGAGTGGGTTTGGGTAAAGCCAGACACATCCAAACTCGCTACCTATGGTTGCAAGAAAGCGTTGCCGAAGGGCACTTGAAAGTGCACCACGTTCCAGGAGTCAAGAACAAAGCTGATGTGTTGACCAAATCGGTTCCTGGGGTGCAGCTTCGCAAAACAATGGAGGACTTACAATATGCCTTCCTCAGTAAGCGAAGCAAAGGACAGTTGGATGTTTTGGAGTAAGGTCCCTGGCCAAGCTCCACTACCACAACTGAGAGTGGCTTAGCAGCGGGAAGTTTCACATGTTTACCTTGACTTGCGCAGCAGTACAGTGCTTTGCAAGAGGAGGAGTGTTTGTATGTACAGCCCATAAATACTCCGCTAGTTCATTGCAGACATGCGACTCACGACATGTTTTGGCTTAATGTAAAAAGGCGTTCCGAAACGTCGACTTTGTGTTTTCAATATGTATAATGTATATTACACAGTATATATTATGTCCCTTCACCTCAACAAGGAGTCCTAGCCCCTGGTTCGGTACTTGGACCCAGCCGTGTTGCCCTCGGTGGGGAAAGGTACAGTAAAGGACTAGCCCGGCAGGAGTCTCTCATTACGGTGACCCGCAGATACAGCTGGACCATGACAACTTGACAACCAAACCATTGGGCGCCTCGGGGCGTCTCCCATTTTGAGGCACTGCACACGAATTCGAAGAACCCTAAACATCACCTCCCAAGAAAAGATTGCAACAACTCTGGGACACCGCCTGGACGCCACAGCTCTTCGAGCGGCTTAGCATGTGGTGTCGCCGACACATTCGCTCCTCGCGCTTCGCCCAGTTGCCTAGGCTAACAGCTTCCTGCCATGGAGTGCTTTGCCGGCCTAGCAGCCGGAGGCTTCGCGGCCAAGGCGCAGCCACTTTTTGACGAACAGACAAACACCTCAAGCAACCTCGGGACACTATATGACACTGTCTACTATTGTAGAGGTTCACTTTCAGGTTTTGCATTGAGTTATCTAGACATATGAACTGGTGCTTCAACTACGGATTCGGATTGCTATGTGCCTACTTTGTGACTACTTGCTAGTGGCAGAAGTTCTGCTTGACGACACACTGTGCATATTGGGGGAATCAGGTTTCAGTCTGTTTTCCGAAGCTTGCCCAGTGTGCTATATCTCATGGCGGCAATGGCCATTTGATCAACCCATATATAAGTGCTCTTTTGACAAGATCCTGCTGAACGCACGCTTGTTCTGCTAGTTGCAACGACCTTTCTCATCGCTGTGTTTCTTAAAGATATTGCAGCATTGCATATTTGGTTGCACCTCGTCTTGGCAGACGCATGATCCACCAAGGTTTGCACCTCTCACCGGGGTTTTGGGTGATTCGACCACCGGTGGACCACCGTTGATGGGATAGGCTCAGAAGACCCACGACCGGACCATGTCGACCCAGTGCCATTTGTTGGTCTTTGCACCTCGAACCTTTGCACAATGAGTCTGCCAATTGGTTTGTGTTATTTCGTCGATGTTGGTTGACAACTGTTAGCACTCAATGAATGACCACAAAACATGTTTTTTTTGTTGCGGCGGCTATTTTCTAGCTCTTTCACCATGTATACTGAGCTCTACCTATTTATATATCATATCATCTATCTATTTTTGAGTATGATGCCACCCCACCGGCCCTCTCCGGCGGGAGACTTCTGCCCTCCATGTGCACAGGAAGCTTACATGTACAACCGAGAGAACTTCCTCTATGATCGAAGTCTTCGACGAAGGAAAGAGTTTCAGGTGCCACGGGGTTCAGTTCGGAACGGGCGACGCGTCTGAAAACGGTGTCCATTTTCACTGTCACCGAGGTCACTGAGCCGGTGCCCTTGGCCCCTCCAAAGCTCTACCGTTCGTAGTCGCGTTCGTTGATGTGCCGTCCCGTCCGCGGTCTACACGCCGTGCTTCACGGTCACACCAGACGCGGTCAACGCGCCGTGGACAGGGTCCGCCCTCACCTGGTGACAAGGGTGGCGCATCGAAGGAAACCCAAAAGGAGTCCGTCCGCACAAAGCCATGGAGCAGAAAGAGTTGGACCCGAGCTTCCTCGAGTTGGAGCCACTCTCAAGTTTTTGCTGGTTGAAGGCCCAAGGAGTAGGCAGAGTGCCCTAGGAAGTTGCTTGATAGACAGCGAGTTACTCGCTGATGGACACCACTGGTCCACTCAACATACAATTTTTTGGGGTGTCGGTGTCAGTGTCATCCACTGAACTTGCATGATCTACAATGTGATGCTTCCAATACGAGAGAAACCATGGTCAATACTGTAGTTGCATTATTTTAGTATTGCACACATTTTGCACAATCAGGATTTTGCACAATGCAGGATGTTGTCCATCAAGATTAGTGCTGAAGCATTCCCAGGAGCGACCCAGGGACCCAGGGCTAGGGTGACTTGTGGATGGCCTTTGGCCTTTGGTTCCCTGCAGACAGTTTGTGCTTGGTTTACGAATCGGAACACAGCCATGGTCCAGACTGCGCTTGATTTGTAGTTTACAGTGTGGGGTAGTCATATGCTTGTTCTCCCACCCAACTGCACCCCACATGATTTGGCTTGACTAACCCCCAGGCAAAAGATCCGCAAGTTAGTCACGTGACACTTCCTGGTTAGGAAAAAGCGTAGGGCTTCAGCATCAGCTTCACATGGTCGGACCTGCGGCCCCAGTTTGTGGGAACAGCCGTGGCAACGGCCGTAGTAACAAGGTGCATCGCTACGAGTAGCGGGCCCAAAGAAGAGGTTTTCTTGTTCCTAGCACTTAGTAATGCATTGTTACTAGTAGCGATGCACTTGTAACAGTACTAATTACTAGCAGCATAAGCTTCACATGGCGGGACCTGTGGCCCCAGTTTGTAGGAAAAACCGTGGCAACGGCCGCTGCTTCCAGTTTCCTGTCCGTTGCCCGTCGCCGCCGTCGTAGGAAGAACCGTCTGAGTCTGTCGGCAGCTCCGATCAGGTGCAGAACTTCCGCGTGGCGCAAGCGGAGCTGTGGCGCAGGGACGTGCGGGATTTGATCTCCTTGACGGAGCTCTGGCTGAACGAGTGAGAGATGTATAGACATAGGATTGATACAGGTATCCTAGGATAAACACCAAAATGAACAGAGTTCAACGAGCCGAAAGGAAAAGACAGAGAGAGAGGTCATATCCCCCTTGATTGCTCCTTTATGAAATGAAGATGTTTTGCATTTATGAAATGACCACCCTGTTGACCAAACAGGGTGGTCATTTCATAAAGCCGAATATTTCAATTTTCAGAAGATTCTCCAACATAACGATAGCATGTTCAATCCATATATATATATATAGAAAAATAGCGTTAGTGAAAGCTAGCCCTTCAATGCTGGCCGCATCATATTATAAAAACTGTTTGTGGCAAAAAGAGGTTGATCTTGGACAGGTCATTTTACAGAGAACCAACTGGATTGAAGAATGCACTGATGTAGCATACGGGTAAGATTCGGCTCAGAATCTGAGCGGCTGAGCGCGCCAAAAGTGTGTGCCAATCCTGAACACTCCATGTCATATTAATCTGTATATGTCAATTTGTGTCAACCCTTGGTCCTTTGATTCTATCATTTTTCATTTTGTTAAGCATGATGTGCCATTCAATCAAGCCACACATAGTGGTATCCTGCCCCAGTTATTCTATATAAGCGTTGGTTTTTCATTTTATACAAACAAATGCTCAGCAAATCATTTTATAGGCACCTATTTCTAAAAATTGTTTGCCACAGAAAAGGTTACAAGCAAGGGGGATATAGAGGTACACATATATATATATATAACGAATATCATCTCGAGAGACAGAGAGAGAGGGAGAGAGGCAGGGGTTGAATGGATGAATGCATACACAGATGGGATAAGAATGGTATGAACGGCACACTACAATTCAATGGAGGATGCCCCTCTGATTGATGAGACGATACAGCATCGGTGAATCAGAGGTCTTGAGTTTCCTTTTGCAATCGAGTTGTTGATGTTGTTGAGACAGAAACACAGCTCTTGTGAGACTTTAGTTTCCTACATGCTCTTCCCTTGCAGCCAGGTTCTAGAGTCTCAGATTCTCCCTGACATCCTGTTCCTGACATCCCAGGAATACAAGATGCATGTGTACCTCCTAGTGAATGTGCTTTTGCTCGGCATCACCGTGGCGCTCTGGTGTCAGGGTAAGCTGCCCCACTCGACGCCCGTGTCCCGGAGATAGCGATGGAGGGGTGGCTTCGGGGCAGTATCCCCAGGTCAAAAGAGATGGGCTGGGAAAATCATCTTCGAGGGCTGTGGCTCTGACGCTTTGGGATTGTGGTTCAAGTGAAGGTGTGGACAGCAGGGGTCCGGTGATTGACCCACAATTGGACTGGAGCAGTTCCACATGTACAGTGGCACATCACCTCGTTCCAATCCGCTGAAGTCCTGCCAGCTGGTCCAGAGGGCAAAGGGCCTGAAAACCGCATGAATTGAATGGTGGTTATTTTTGTAATTTGTTCTAGCAGACTTCCCAGTCCCCCATCTCATGCAAGCTGGATGTGAAAGGGTTCTTTGTTCTCACAAAACGCGCAAGAAACGGCCACCCTGAAACGTCACCGCTGGGTCTGTGGTTGGTCGCTGGGTCGCGATCAACGTGGTACATCGTTTTGATGATATGATGATATTTGATTGGACACACATGCATGGATGTCAAAGTGTAGGCACCCAAAAGTAATCGCATGTGAACATCTCCCAAGTAGATGCTTTCTTGAGCTGCACATGATCTGGGGGTACATGTTACTGGCCATGCTATACCCAAGGTTTGGTTGATGACGGGGAATGCGCTTGCGATGGCTGGGGCCTTCTCCTTCATCTTGCTGTCCATTTGGATGGCCATGTGCCTGGGCGGCCGGCAGGTTCTTTTGCCGGCTTTGACTTGATGCATGAAATTGTTGGGAAGAGGGGGGTGCGGAAGGTAAATGAAGAGCTTCCTGAAAAGTTCATGTGGGCTTTGAACATGAACCCTTGCAATGGACATTTTCACAGTCCCGTGTTGGTTTGTGTTTGTATATTCACTGTAGCATCGTGACCTTGGTTTCAAACATGTGTCCAACCACACATGGCTTGCCTACCAGCCGCCCTTGGGGAGAAGAGAACGTCTACAAACACTTCCCGGCCGAGCCGACAAAGAACCTCTCCACTTCGCGAAAGACTCAGTCGCTGGTCTTGGGGGGTCCTCTCGACCGAGCGATCTAGGCACGCAGCAGTCTCGGCACAGAGCTTTGAAGCTCGGCTCCTGACGCAGATGGTGCGCTTGCCGATCCCGACCTGGAAGGAGCTGAGCTTTGGAAGACGTCACTGGCTTTTATGAGCATCCCAAAGGATTAGATCGGAGGTGAACATTTCCCAGAGACCCCAGAGAGGTGAGAAGCCTGCCTTCAACTTTCCTCCTCATTCCTCCTCCTCCTCCTCCTGTGGTTTCGCGCAGGCGCCGCGCTGCAGCCCAACAAGTCTCCTCCTTTATGCCCCGACCGAACCGGGGCCAGATGTGCAGGCCAATGTATTCCCAGAGGGTCATGTCACCTGTGGGGTTTCTCGGGATTCAACTCGGCAATCCAGGAGGTGGAGGCCTGTCGAACCTACGCCTCGGAGTTCGAACGCCTGGAGACGAAGCAGCTGTTTCGCCCCTCGGTCGGGACGTTCACGTCCCGGGTGCGGGTGCGGACGTGGCCCGAAGTGGTGGGGGGCGAAGAGCTTGGTGAAAGATACATCAGGTATCCACATAGAATCTTACAAGGGTGGAACGAACCTGCTGAGAAAGGACGATATATATTACAGGTGATTCTCAGATGTCATGTTATGTCCTGTTCCCAGAGTGTGAAGATGTTGGACGTTTATAGTTTCCAGTATGGCGATGAAGATCGGCGCTTTAGTTTGGGTTTGACAGGGCCTTGAGTGTAGCGATCTTCGGATTTCCCATGCGCGTAGTGCTGCACCACCGAACACATGGCGGCATTTCTATGGGGAAAGAGAGATCATCGAACTAGGAATAACACAGAAGAAAGACGACAACACCCACACCACACTGCTTCGACTTTCGCAACAGCGCCCACCATGTCTCACTGTCCCAGGAATTCCCTTCGTCATGGGCAAACAAGAAGGCCTGGTCCCTCCAGACCCGGAGCCCGCGAGCGGAGCGAGCGCCTCGCATGATGATGATGAGAGCCCCAGCACTGCATCCAGGCCGGGACGGTTAGGACGGTCAGGACGATCACCACGGTCACCGACCCCTTCGGAGCAAAGGAATTGAACTTTATGGGGGAATTCGATTCTGAGGGGTCACAGGAGTTGGCCGGGTACACGCCGTATGTGGCGAATGCAGTGTTTCCTGGGTGAAGGCCATGGTGGGGAGAGTAGCTGGACCTGCGCGCTGGGGTAGGGGGCATGTTGCCGTGTGTTGGTTCAGAGCTTGCCTGTAATTCTGGGGCAATTGACATAGAAGATAGCGTGGCCTACAGATTGCAACAAACAAGGGGATTCTATTTTGATATTTTGACCATCCCCCGTTGGTCGCAACCTTGTCTTCAAGTTCTGTCGACCTGTTGACCTTGCAAGGAGAATCCTTGCCCCACGATTTCTTGATCTCTTCCGGGTGTACTTGCCAGACAGTGTTCAAGCTGCCACACCTTGGCAAGGTTAACGCAAAACTCCTGTTGGTTGAGAACAATTTGCGGGTCACGGTCAGCCTATAGTCGTCCACTGTACATATCTACCCCCAGGAAAACGAACTTGGAACCTGAAAACCACTGGGTTGTAGAGGACAATGGAAGACCCCAGTCTGGTCCATGCCTTCATGCTAATCATAATCTCTCTTGTCTGGAGCTTGCCATCCCACCGGACATCAACTCCAGTCCTCGATCTTGGGGACGGTTGAGGCGTTTCATGGAGGAGGCTCATGTGGACCCGTGGGGCTTGGAGAGCACCTCGTGCTGAGATGAGCGGAGCGGCCGGGATTGGAGAGGTCTCCTCAGAGCGTGGGTTTTTGGGGTCCGAAACTGAGGAACTTTGAGGTCTCAATTTGAGGCTCGCTAGACCCAGATCCGCCTCATCCATTTGGGATGAAGTGACCATTTGGAGATCACAGACGTGGACCTACTTAAATTGGGGGGTTTTGGGGTTGTTTTTGACCAACAGACGGGGGCACCGATTCCTTCCGTCTATCCGTGTCATCCTCCGTGTCGAGTCTTCACGAGGGAGCGAGGCACCGAGGCTCTGCTTGTGGCTTTAAGGCTTAGAGATGTGAGAATTTGAGCCGAAAAAAAAGAGACTCAAACGGATGAGTCCTGGGTTTGGATTCAACTCACACGGATGAGTCCTTGGTTTGGTTTGGCGAGCCGGGTGCATGTTGAGCCGGATCTCTTGCTCCTTGGATGTCCACAGAGAGAGAGAGAGAGAGAGATAAAAATCCTGTGCTGATCGAATCTCAAGATCTGTGATGATCTGTGTATATATAATTAATGATAATATATGATATACGCATGATATAAGCAAATCAATATAGTATAGGCGATTGTACTCCTGATATCTCTCCATCACCCGACACAGCTTTGTTTGTTTGTTTGTTTGTCTGGATATAGTGGTCGTCAACGAACGAATCGTGTGGGAACTTGCATGTTTTTCGCGGGAGTTGTGGCATCCTGGTGTTTCAGGTTGATGACCTAGGGGAACAGTCTACAGACGTCCGTCATCTTGTTCACACTAGGATTTCGGGTTTTACTGTTGGTTACTGTGTATGTTGTATTATTTTGTTCTCTGGTATCACTAAAGGACAGTACTGCACAACCGTGCAGTTACAGCTGTGTGGTCTACACTGAGTCTACACATTGATATACTTACGTGAAACTAGTAAAAACTTCTATTTTCATCTGATGAACTTTGCAACGCCTACGACACCCAGTATTTACGACACATCTCACATCGAGTTCTTGAGTCCTCTTCCTTCGACCCTGGCTGTCCAGTAGGTTTGCTGAGGCTCTCTGACACAGGTTTGTTTGTACACGCGGAGCACGGGTTGTTTTGTAGATGCGGTTCCTGAGATCTTTTCTTCACGAGGTGTCATCCTCTTCATTTGGACTTTGTTTGGGGTGTTGCTGTAGAGTGAGCGTTGCGGATTACGGTTCGTAAAAGCCAGAGTGACCCTCCTCCCAACGACATTCTCTAACTGGTGCTTAGTAAGGAGGAGGGAATTGCCCTTCCAACTTCCCACTAGCAGCAATTCGTACTCATTCCATCCCTTCTTACTGATCACACTGGCTTTGTTGTTTTCACCCTCCGCCACCTAAAAGAACCGCGGAGGCACTGGAGCCAAATTGCCGGAGCTCGGATCTCGCATGGGCCATGGCATCATGGCGAGACGGATAGGCTCAGGACGCTAAGGAGAAGTATTGAATAGGGAGAAGTATATATTTGGTGTGGTTTAGTAACCAGTTTTGATGTGGTTTGATGGTTCTAAGGAGATGTATTCGGTTTAGACCCTCGAAATTCTCGCCCAATGGCTGGGTTAGTTTGACTGTAGACCCATGTCCCGAACTGAACCCATGGCGGTCGGGATGCCTGGGAGGTGTCTCTATATGTTAATGCACACTCGACGAGGTATCGATATGAGAAGAGCGAACATCGGAGAATGCCTAGAAAATGGTCCTGAGAAGGCAGGGTGGTTTTGAGTAGTTCAGGATAGATGAGCACCACAAGGAAATACATACATTGTATCTGATTACTCAATTTACAAGTGTCGTTGTGGGGTTTGGGGACCCTTTCCAAGGCATGCACAAGTACCGCCACGTGAAGCTGGCACGGCAAGCCATGGCCTTTTGGCAAAGCTATGATGCCTTTGCGAGGACGCGCGTGTATTTGTGGGTGGTTTGTTTCTACATGGGTCGTTTGTTCCAGAGGCGACCTGTGGGATGTGTCCAGAATCCACTCCCTGTAGGAAACCTTAGCGTTGGGGAATTAGCAGGTCCCAGCGTTGGACGATCATTCTCGTGCAGGTCCCAGTGAATGATGCTCTCTGAGCAAACGCAACAGATGGATGTCGAGAACGTCCACTGGACTCTCATGGACTCTGGACTATGAGAAGCACAACAACCTCTCACCCCAAACCACGACACCCCAAGCCCAGCGACCTCTGACCACATGGAACTCCAGAGGTGCGGGCTGTTGGGCTGTTTACCCTCCGCATCACAAGAGTTCGACTTGGAAGTAGGAGAAAAGCCGGAGACCAGAGGTTGGTCTGAGGCTCTGGTGGCCCATCTCCGTTCCGGTGCGCTGGTCCCATGAGTGACCGGTCAATGAAGAGACTGAACCGACGATTTGCTCACTGGAGACTCTGCGTTGCATGCTCAAACCGATTCTATCGGCGTGCTCGATCCGGATCGGATTTTTTTGCCTGGTGCAGCTGATGTAGGGTGGGGAGGTACAGAACACAAAGAAGCGGCTGAGCAGCAGAAGATGGTCATATAATGTCATATAATGTCACATATATATATATATGTATATGTCTTTTGTTCAAGAGATTTAAGGGGTTTCTGGGGGGATCTTGTAGGGATGACGCCGCGGATGATGCCTCTGTGGTGGCAGGATTTGTATGAGCATCGGCGTGAACCAGCTCCTCAATGCCGCTAGCTACTTCATCCTGGCCTACTACATGACTGAGGCAAAAGGGTTTGGGGAGGCCACATGCAAGGCGACATGGAGGGTCCTGTTGGTTGGACACCCTGGTTGAACCACCTTTGAATGAACAGAAGAGACACGAACAGAAGGAGGTCAACCTACCAGGCATTAGTAAGGGGTTCGGGTGCCATGACCCACAGCCATGACCATCGCATGCCGTGTCTGTCATCCCAGTCCTGGAAGGCGAAGGTGCCTTCCTCAGCCACTTATGGCGTGGTGGTGCTTACAACCATGGCCGAGACACTCAACCGCCTGGATATGCGGCTTGGGCCAGAGTGAATATTGAGTAAACAATTCTTTGGGGGGCCAGGGCAAAGTCAAGGAATGAATTTGTGAGTGGGTTGAATGACATCTGATAGAATATAGATTTTTTTATTTAAAGAAAACATGAATATGTTCATGGTTTTGGATCAGCAACTGGGCAGCACCATGGAGACGTTCATTTCTAAGGAATATATAGATCTAAAGGTTTGGGATCGCACCGTAATATGAGCAGACCTATGTATATGCTTTACAGGCATTACATGTGTTGCTTTGTCACACCTCCGCACTGTTGATCAAATGAACAGGGATGCTCGACTGCCCAAACCTTGCAACCCCCCCTGCTTTTTGAACTCTTGGACACACAGGAGCTCCTTCGACCATTTCAGGATTCGTTTTTGGCCGATGCTGAGATACGATTTGACCAGCTGACCCAACTGACTTGGTCAAGCATCCTGGTCAGTAAAGATTTGGAGCACATCGTTTTGATTGACAGTTCGACAGGAGGCATGCATCAATGTGTACACTGACTGCGCCTAATTACTGGTATTGGGTGGTTGACCAAGCCTTGGCCTCACTGCATAGGGTCCCTGAACTTGAGCCGTCACCCTTTGCGCCGGCGTTGCACGCCTGTAGCGTGTTTTGTTGTTGTTGTTGTTGTTGTTGTTGTTGTTGGGGAAAGCACATTTGACTCATTCTTTTGTACATCAATCTTGGTGGATCAAAGATCCTTTGAGAGATGTTGGGACTGGGACATGGAAGGTGGCGGGACATTTGAGAAGAGACCTCCCCACACATCCACATAATGGCAGAGCACCAGAGGTCCTTGACCTGGTGGCAGCTGCGACTGATGCAACTGCCGGGCAGCTCAGAGGTGTGCTGCATTTGTTCAACCACAAGAGGACAATACAATAAAGCAACTGAACGTGCCCTTCTTACAGGTGAATCAAGAATCTGAAAGACAATATGTAACTGGAGAAGTGCTGTTTTCCTCAGCTTGCTGATGCTCATTTGATTTGGTGTTCTTGTTTTTGGAGATTTCTTCTCGCAAGGCTTCTTGCTTTCGTCTTCGTTGTCGTACCCATGGGAACGGACATGAAACCGGGTGGCGACAAAGACTCCCCCGGCCGATGAAGCCTAACATCCACCATACTCTTCGAGGTTCCTCTACCTCGGCCCTGCCATTGCCACAACCTCCTGCTGGGCTTGGGTGGAAGATGGATGGGAGCTCGCGGAGGGTCTGGTGGTGTGCGCCTTCCTGGCACATGCGGCGTGCCTGGGCGCCAGGGGTGACTGGGATGGGCTAGTTGCAGTGGATGGGGCGCTTTGAGATGGCACAGGACAGGCCCTCCCGAAGGATCAGTGCTTTGGGGCATGGGCTTGAAGCACCGCCGCATGAGAAGTGTAGGATCCGTCCCTTGGGGTCCCAGCGAAAAAGAGATCCAGGATCAAACACATCACCAAGGACCAAGACGACACCATCTGCATCCTCACCCACCCAACCCCTCCAGAGGAAGCAGACTTTTCTCGTTTCCACATGACCTGTGGATGAGGAAGTTCCTGGATTCCACATGAAATTCGACACGCTCAAACAGCGCGGTGCTTGCCAGGTATTTGTTGACGGTGAACACTCTTTGCCACATGCACCTGGAGCACAATGGTGCCATGCTGCCGGTGGTCTACCGCTCGGTGCTCTACTTGGACGTCTTTGGTTGGTCCAGCCAGGCGGGTCGCGTCGAGGTCGATGAGAGCCGCACGCCACAGCGAAACCCTGGTCTCACCCGGTCTCAGATGGGATCGAATTCCTTATGGATTCTTTACACTCTTTTTGGTCGTGTTTCTTTGGGGGTGCTTCTTTGGGGGTAGTCTTTGGTGGGTCCTCCTGGGTAGTCCCGGTTCTTTTTACACTCTCATGGTTTCTTTGGTGTGGTTGGAGATGTTCGGAGTGGGTTGGAGGCGCCGAAGCGGAAGCGGATGCGAAGGGGAGCCTCTCAAAGCACATTTCTTGACTCACCGTAGTGTGGTGAGAGACAGGGAGCATCCCCGCCTCCATTATGCGGAAGCAGTGAAAGAAGTCTTCTCGATGTGCAATTACCTTTGGCTCAGTTCCTGTCAAGAATATCTGAATCCATCTGAATCCTGTAGATTCTACACGAGATTGAATCATCCCCACCGCGCCTTTCCCCCCACCCAGGTACTGCAAGAAAATATACGACAAGACAGAATAGAAACAAATTAAGGTAAGTTAATCAGGACCCTTACCACCCTGATTGCACCATATTGCACCTTTTCTGTTTTTGTCTTCTTGATTTCGGTTTCACCCGCTGCCACGGCCTCAGGCCCGGCACCAGCGGCCGTCCGGCGCCGACACGCCCCGGACCGACATCTCGACGGCGCGGGAGCTCGATGGGGAGGAAGGAGTGGATGGATATGGGTTGCTGGAGACATCTTTGGACCCTTACTGACAGGCTTCGCCCACCGGCGATGCCCGCACTGCGGGTATCGGGTCTTTACACAACAAAATGGATGATTAGCGATCAGCACAGCTTCTGACGCCTGCGCATACAAACTCCCACACAGGTGTGCGCACGAGGGTCTGATGGAAAAGGCCTGGCAACCTCAGCCTGCCTGTAGTGGAAAGCGCTAAAAATACTGTATTTTTGAATATTTTTGAGCATTTTCCGGCCTAAAGCTATCTGCGCTTAGGCTAGAAAATGCGCAAAAATACAGTTTTCTCAGCGTTTTCCATCACAAAGTCCTGATCTTTGAAGAAGCCATATAAGCCCAGGTGGTGCTAGAAATGTCGGCCGCACGACATTTTGAACATCACCAGGACGTATGTATTTACGTGAAAAGCAAGAAGGCACATAACAAATGATCAAAAATGGCTACTGTAAAGCTGTATCTCTAGAGAAGAAAGTATGCTAAGAGGAGAGGAAGTTTTGAGGTAGCAGTTGTGTCGAGCACCATTGGCATCATCAGAGTACGAGCAGCATTATTCATAAACTAGACATACATTTGGCAAAAACACTGTAATTTAGTGTTTTGCGCCTACTCATACACCAAAGGATTTGCACCTTTTCTGCTGAGACTCTGCTGATGCTAATGGTGCTCGACCAAAGTTTCTCCTCTGCTGCAAAGCCGGGTGACGTGGACTGCGGAGCTGGCGAAACAACTGAACGCCCTCCCCCAGGAAGTGCGGGGTTTCCTGCAGAACCCCGCCGACGATGCGAGCCTGTTGGAAGCGCTCGTGGCCTGTCTGAGCCAGAAAGCCTCGGTGCGGACAGAAGAGCACGCTGACCCGCTGGCCGGGGGCAGGCGCGCAAGCGCGCCCGTGGCGCCAGACCCGCTGGGAGGCCAGGATGTTTTTTCCACGGCACCGTGTCTTTGTGTTTGAAAAGAGGCAATGCAGCACCAGCCACGACAGGTCGTGTCGCGGGCGCAGCGCGCGACCGCGCGCAGGTGGAGCGGCAGGCTGTGGGATCTTCGGACAGCAGAGGGTCGGAGGCCCGTTTTGTTTTTTTGTTGTTGTTCGTCGGGTTGCGGCGCGTGAAACCAAACCAGGCACCTTGGGCACCGGGCAAGAACATGGATAGATAGAGAGATAGATAGATAGATAGGTAGATAGATAGATAGAAGCCTTGATCATTGATTGTGATAGTTTGGTCTTTGATTGTGATAGTTTCATTTTTCTTGTTATGAGTCTTAAACCACATATCTGTAACTTATGGTGGAGTTCCTGAACACCCTGAGTTGCTTCATGATGGTGTTTCTTTGCAGCAATGTAAATTTGAGGTGTCAAGCCAAAACAGGGGCGGGGGCGGGTCGTGCTACTTAAAGCCTGACACTAGGCAAATTGGACCAAGTCATCAGTCAGAGAGTTTGGCATATATTTTTTAATGATCTAGGTTGTCTGATCTAGGTTGTAGCAACTTCTTTGTGAGCAAAAAATTGTAGACATTGTAAATTATGTTTAATGTAGTTTGGCATTTTACATCCATGATCTTGCTTTGTGTGAGTTTCTTTGAGTAAATGTATTGATATGTTTGATTTTGCAAGTAAACAGAAACAGTTTTGAGACGCACCTGTCTGTCAGGCCCTGTCAGGAATGAAGCAATACTAAGGCCACTAAGGAACTAGACATCTTCAACTTCAAGAAGGCAATTTTTTAACTTTCCACCGAATAGGTGGATAGCACCGAACAGGTGCTTCTTTTTTTTGGGGGGGAGGGGCAACACCAGTGGAGCACTTAGTTTCAGTCCTTGCACATATGCAGGACTCATACTTCCAGGCT